CTCTCTTCCTAACTGTGGATGTTTTTGTTATTTCTGAGACGCCAACAACGACCCCTTTTCTTACTGCCACATGCACCATGCAGCTCAGGAGCCATTTAGAATGACGTCATATAGCGCTCCTCTTCCTCGTTTGAGCACTGTTGCGTTCACATTTCCCGCGGACCGTACTCGAGCACACATGCGTAGACCCTCCCTCTTTAAGCTCCACCGGTGCAGCTGGAGTTTAGTGCGTTGCTGGAGGGCAACAGCTTCAGGTAGTAAGACTCTTAAACAAGAAGGTTTCAGAGTGACACTCACACTGATTTGGGGTCAAAAGAGGTCAAAGACAAGCAGTTATATTTACACTTTCTACACCTGAGAGAGTGACGAGTACGTTTTTAAAATTCAGTCTGAGAAATCTTCACGTGTTGCTGACATGGTAACGATGGATGGAAGAAAGACCTTAAAGGCTGAATGTGCAAAATTTTACACATAATTAAAGCAGAAATCAAGTTTATCCTCTGAAAATAACTCTGAGTCATGACTGTCTGTGATGCTGTCCGAGTCCTATCTTCACTTTGTTTACATCGCCGGGACGGCCGGCTGACTCCTCCCCTCGCGTATAAAAGTTGTTTAATTGAGGGACTAGAGAAAAGAAGAATAACATACTGTACTCACTGCTTAACTGTGTTTCTAGATCACGCTCATTTCAGGTAAATTTACATGCAGTGTGAAGATACCAGCATAATAAAGATCACTAGCATTAGCATGCTAACACAACAATGCAGCGAAGTTGTTTTGGTTTCATGCTGGAGCTCAAGGGCGACATCTGCTGGATCAAAAAGTTGCATATTCTTCCTTTAAGGTTAAAATGTAAAACCTGCTTAGAGCTCATGATGCAGCTCACATTTGTAAACACGAACTCAGAGTTTTAATCGTACGTTTCAATATGTTACAAAACTATTGTTTCACAGCTCTTAATGTGCGACCTTTAATGACCCTGTGATGCAACCAAACATCGAGCTGTAGTATGAAATATGTGTGTGTGTGTGTGTGGTGTGTGTGTGTGTGTGTGTGTGTGTGTGTGTGTGTGTGTGTCATTTAATCTCTTCTAACAGACAGGTTGTGTTTGAGCGGAGACTTCAGTTAAAGGTCACGGCTGTGGTCTGTGGTCGTCCTCTCCGCCTGCATCGATTCATGAGCTGCTGCTGTCATGGAAAAACGACTCATCCAAACCCTGTGTTGTTTTCTCTTCTTCTTCTGTGGTAAATTAAGTGTTTTCATAAACTCCAGGTCTGTGGCGACAGAGTTCAGGAGTGAAAATGCACAATAATGTTTTTAGGAAAAGGAAGACGAGACGAGGCCGCTGAACCCTCCGATAGATGAGCAGGAAAAGTACCAGGATGAGGACAAACACGAGGCAGATCTAAAGCAGCGATGCGTCTTTGCAGAACAGAATGGCGGCATTGTGGAGCTCGGTGGGGGGGGGGGGGTGAGGGGGGGGGTCTCCGTCCACGACAATGTGACATGTTTGTGTTTACGCCTCGCTGCGGTGCACATTCTTCCCACTGACTGACATCCTGCAGGACGGACAAAAGACATTCTGTGCTGAACAAGAGGGAAGCATGTGAGGTGAGCCTGCACGCACTGAGCTGCTGCTTCTTCTCATCCAAACAGATAAACATGGAAATACTCAACATATTCATGTTCTTACAGTCACCACATCTTCCCTTTAAGTGAATGACTTTAAATAAACACAGGAAACAAGGGTCATCATCACTCGGCCTGTGTGTCCAAAAGCTGAAGAATATGACTCTGTTGGTAGTCTTCAGTGTATTTTTTGGGAATCTGCCTCCTGTGTCAATGTGCTGCTGGAGTCAGGTGATAGAGGACACCTGACTCATCTAATGGACCAGGGTTTAAATTCTGTTGGAAACTCACAGTCAATGTTGATTTCTCTAAGGAGAAAACGATCTTCAATGTACGTGAGATTTACCGTATGCACACATCTTTACATTCAAAGATGGCTGATGCAGAAACGTTAGTGTGGACAGACGATGACGTGGGGATGTTACTCCAAGTGACCCGACACTACAAAGTGAGTACACTTTTTGAAAATGTTGACTTAGTGTCCTGCCAGTTAAATGATCACAAACCAAACTCAGGAGTCGGCCATTGTTTTTGTAGTCCACCTACTCGCTCATAGCGGGTCGTTAACTGAAAGTGTAATGCACATGTGTGAAATGTAACAGTTTTCAGAGAAACTGTTTGTTGCCCGGTTTACACGACGATGGAGACGATTTTTTTTTTTTTACGTTTTCACTCTGGAACCAGTGAAGTGCTGTTGTCGTGCAAACAACAAAAGGTTGTCGTTTTCGGCAGAAATCGTTGTCAGGTTAACAGAATCTTACATATTACAACAAATAAACAAGTTCCTACTTCAGCATAAACTGATATGTCAGGAGGTTTGAGACTGCGCCTACTCAGGGCATTAAAAAAGTGTTTGGGTAATGGGTGCTCACAGTGCAAAAAAGGAGAACAAAAACAGCAGCAAACGTTTCAGTCCTTGACTGTTGTTCACCTTTGACCTCTCATGTCTTCATTAAAGAGACTATTTCTGCACGTATCCCAGCCTTGGGACTTTTTTTTGTGTGGCTGTTTAGCCCGGTGGATTTGGTATACGAGTATCTCCTCAGCTATGATGAATGAAAAAAACAAACCAAGCAAGTGGTTTTTTTAAGGTGTGAACCTGTCCCAAACGGCAAAATAGGATCTCAAATGCATTTTCATTACCATCGTTTCCCACGCAATAAACAGGATAACAAGGGAAAAAAGCAGATTTCATCATATTTCCAGCGGTAGGTTTCTCTACAGTCGTGGCAGTGTTCAGTTAAAATGATGTTCATGAACTCATGCAGAAAGCTGCAGACTAACCTGAGACTGATGAAGAGGAGTTTGAACCCTGACTGAGGGCGTGCCTTCTCATCATTCACGAACAATAAAAGTTAAAACCACAGCTCACTTTCTTTCTGCTGTCTTCACAAACTCAAACCAGCTGACGTTAATAAAAAAATGAGAAAATGTGCGTCTCATTACCCAGAATGCCAGTGAAACAGGGCCACACAGGGGGGCTGTAAAATAACCCATGCTAATTGTCAGAAGACTGCAGCACTGGTGCCTGAAGCAACAGGCTGACACTTTAACACCTCCACTGTTCAAGCTGTGGAAGTTTCATCTCATTTTTGTTGGAGCAATTTTCGCATTTTTCTATTTTCAAGTAAATTTTCTTGAAAGTCTTGAAGTCAGCACGCTCCACTCCTTACAGACGTGCAGTCTTAACACCACCAGAGACAAGACGAGATGTGTGTGTGTCACCTTTAACCTGGACTGAGCTGGTTATAAGAGCGGACTTTAAACGATGAGAATGAATTCGGTTTTAGTCCCTGGTTGCAGCAAAGTTTGCAGGTGCTTCATTCAAAATGACTTCTCCTGCTGTATTCGCTCTGTTTTTACATAATTCTCTGAAATCTGCAGTTATTTTAGGACCTGATGTCGCCACAGGACACGGGTAAAGTCCCATGTCCGAGTATTCAGGATACCTCGACGACCACAAACACAGCAGGTTTCCCACAGAGTCCAACACTGTCATGTCCTCCGCATCCGCTCTCTCTGCTAAATCTGGGGCCAAATATTATCATTCCATACATGTAAAAATAACCCCGTGTTTCAAAGGTCTCCGTCTGAGAGAACAATGGAGCGACTGAGGATGTGAAAGTTGTCCGGCTGAAACTAAAAGGGGAAGGATGTGAGGAAGGACAGAGGATGGAGATAGTAGGAGAGTGAGTGGATGTAGCATGTAGCGCTCCGATTCCTCAGAGCGGCAGCCAAACTGCACGGGGGAGCGGGGGTGATCAAAGTGTTTGGCATAGCAAGGGGGGGGGGGGGGACTGAACGAGCTGGAGACCACAACAGTTTATAGAAACCACAAAATTAGACGGCTCCTGACGAGAAAGGTAAGAAAATCCTGACTGGGCATTTCATGTAAGAAACAAAATCAAGTCAGCAAAAGTTGATCGGATGACGTGGAGGTGAAGAAACATCTGGTGCATCGTTTTCAGCCAGCGTCTAATTATCATGATGGAAATGACCAACAGGGTCGCCCGTGACCAGCCAACCTACGTTCTCAGGTGCCGGTCGGTTGCAGGAACATTACTATTAAAAAATGAATTTGCTGTGAACCTGAGAAAGTTAAAAGTAAAAACATGTTGTTCCCCTGCAATGAAATGATAGTAAAGGAATTTTCAGCGTGCCACAGTTTATTTAATTTTTCATCTTGTTAAAGACGTTTCTGCTGCCCTCTAGTGGCCACAAATCTATTTTTCAGCTTTAAAGAGTCAAACGTTTCCCTTAACTTCACCCTGGCTATCCATAAAATTCAGCGTATAAAGAAGCTCGATTCATACCACTTTTTTCATTTAGAAAGTTAGCAGTTTCTTATATAGCAGTATTAATGCGCCGTCACGGCTGCACCTGCTGCAGTTTAAATTTGCCTACAGTCTTTGTTCATTTCAAGCGGCCGAGAGCTGCACAAAATGTGATCAGACCAGGCCGGTGACGAGACGTTTTAGCAGCTCTTCCCTCTCATGAGGAAATATTTCTGCATTGAAAGAAAACAGGAACACATCGTAAGTAAATCAACTTTGTGGAGGTCCAGTTTGATTGAAAGATCAAGATGAGTGACCAGAGAGGGTTGGTAGAGCAGCTCGCGTGCTATACTTTACAACTATCAATGTTAGTGTAGGCTGAGAGCTCACTAGTGTACCCTCAGCTAGCAGGTTTTCAGACTTTGCATGGTAAAAAAGAAAGATGGTACTAGAAGAGGTACACAGCTGAACAGAAAGTGAAAGCTTTGACTTTACTAAATGCTACAGAAATCGTCAGCTGGAAGACAATTTAAACCTTTTTTCCTCCCTGGGAGTGAAAATCTGCAGCGCTCAAAGTATGAAGACCCAGTCTCCTACCTGATGAGGACACACTGGTTCTGCAGCCTCTTCCACAGCGAGCGGTAACACTCGTTGGCGACGGCAAAGATGTGCGGGGAGATTTCGCCGAGGTGGTGTCGGCTGTACTGCTCCACGGCCTGCCGGTCGTACAGGCCCGGGAGGAGCTGGTAAGGGTTCACCGCCGCCAGGATGGAGCCGATGTACGTCTGAGGAATGAAAAAGGAAAAAAATTAGATCAGCCGGAAACAAAAGCATGAAGGTAAAGCAGAGGTTGTTAATTAAGTATTCATGATGCGGTGCAAGAAGATGGTAAGTGCAATCCAAATTCTAAACATCATAGAGAGCTGCCCCCCCCCTCCTCTCTAGAGTCCATGCTCACTCAGGTCACCATGTGGTGGACTCTGAAGCTTCAGTGTTTAGCCAGCTCTGCATGGGTCTGTAAACCTTTCTGTGTTCTAACCTCTCTCCATTTTTCAAAAGCAAGCTGAGCACCAAGAACCACGTTAGCAGCAGTTTAGCTCACAGTCCTCCTGGACGACCTGTGCATGCTGAACAGTTCCCCCCCAGCCCCCCAATTAACCACTCTGTTAAGTGTTTTTGCCAGTTTGTAATCACATGGTCTGTTTGTTTTGGAGACGAAGAGACCTCATTGGATAAATCATCTCCAAACGTTGTGAATGAAAAACACTGAAGAGTCACTTTGAGACCTCATTCTTAAAGTGTACAGCCTCACATGATCATCTGCGTAAAACGATGCACCCAAAACGTATCGGTTATCTTCCTGTGACTTATTGAAAGTCGACTCAACAGGATTCCCGACTCAAGGTTCAAATCTTCAACTTTCAGGAGGACAACCCGACAAAATCTCTCCATCAGTCGAGTCAAAGCAACTCAACACATTTGACCTTCTGTCTCTCTTTCACCACCCTCCCACAAACTGCACGTTTTCCAAAACCAGAGTTCATATTTCAAAGTTCAAAGCCAAACAAAACCAAACTGTTGAAATAGAAGCTTGTGTGAAGCCGGAGTAAGTCTTGGCAGAAGCTTCGGTGCTGCGGTGGTGACTAATGGATAAATAGGCAGGCGTGGAAAACAGGCAGCAAATCAGCACGAGAAAAACAACGAGGGCTTTCTACCTCCGCCTTGGATCTGGTTTGAGAAGTGTTTACAGCAGCATCATAGGAGTCACTCGGGGACGGGAAGAAACACGTTGCTTCATGTGGGAAGAGCTGCAGAGCCTTGACTTCCCAATGCGAGTCCATTTTGATATCATTTGATAAGCGAGGAGGTTTCTGGTTTGAATCCCCGTCTGACAGGAGCCTGATGTTCTCCCCATGCACGTGTGGATGCTCTCCTAATGCGTCCTCCCACAGTCCAAAGACATGCTCGTGAAGTTACATGGTGACTCTTGGTGACCCGTAGGTGTTATGGTTGTTACCCAGCTTTCATGTGGTGTCAGACACATCGAATAAACGAGTTTCCGAGGTTGGAAAATGCACATGGACGCTTGCTCAAGTTGGACCACTCGGGAAATAATTAGTTGCCCAACTTGCCGACTTGATGTGGTTGTTCCTTTCTCACAAGTAAACATGATCATTATGAACATAAAAGCTCCACAAACATCACCTCTTTCCATCAGAGTTTTCTAAAAAACAAGAACATTTTTGTCTTCACAACTTGGACTGAAAGTGAAAATCTCATTACAGCAGAGCACAGTGTTCCCATAATCTGGCATTATGGGCGAGAGTGGCCGAAGCCCTGAGGAGACAAGATGCATTAAGAAGAAGGAGACATACGGAGCACTCTCTCTTATCCGGTTCATCTCCAGTGGGCCTCACTGAGACCATAAAAATCCCGGGACGACTCCTGAAAGCAAACAGTCTCCTGTCCGTCACAGGGTTATCAGATTCTTCAGCGTCTTTGTTTAAGTCTTGAAAAGGTGTTTTTCTGCTCGTTTTGCTTTTTTTTTACTGAAGCCAGATGTTTTCTCTCTGCAGCCACAGCTGTTTATTATTGTTGAATCACCTTAAATACAGGTAGTCAGGGTTTATTATATTAGAGAGGAGTTTCAAGATGTCAGAGCTCGTACTAAAACAAGCAGATTAACTGAAAACAGAAGATTCTCTCCTCATTACAGAAGTCGGTCACAAACAGTTTCCAAATACGAGATAGAAGAAATGTGTCCTTTCAATATATTCTGCCGTGTCTGAGGTGAAACAATGTTCAGGCCTCTATATGGACAACTCAATGATAATAATGACAATGTGCAGTATAAGGCATGGAAAGAAAGCTGGGTTGGTTGGTTTGTTGTAGGTCTAAATGTGTTTAAAGAGCGTAAGCAGAGTGGAAATACTCAAAGAAAGTTTCTCAGAAAATAACTTCTGCTGAGAGTTTCCAGAGACTTTAATGGGGGAGTTCCTTTATTTTTAAACCTTGGCCCTGCAGTAGCTTTCATACTTTGTGGTCTAATTAGAAAATACATACAAAAAGTTTGGGGAAATGCTACAGAAGGCTGCTTTAGTCAAGAGCAATGAAACATGCTGTAAGTACTGCAAGTGAATCGTTGGAGACTTAAAGATCACACACTTCATGTTTCTCTAACTCTAACATGTGTCTCTAGTCTGTCTACAAACCCCCCAATCATGAGAAAAGTCCATCCTCTCCGTCTTCTGCCTGCTCCACTTTTCATAAAATGTGTGCTCAAACAGGCCGTTTGGAGATTTTCCCTTCATGACATCACAAAGGGCAGTAGCCCCTCCCCCAGGTGGGTGACACTCCCACAGCTAGGTGTTTGTTCAGCCCTCTGAGTCTGCCTTCTCACCGTAAACAATAGGACATGGAGCGAGAAAGACCAAGTACACCCAAGCCCTTCCAGAGAGGGGGCGTGGTCAGACACAGCTCATTTACATATTTAAAGGTACAGACACAGAAACAGTCTGTTCTGAGCAGGGCTGAAATAGAGGGGTTTATAGACATGATCAAATACAGGATCAGAGTGGATTTAGAACAAGAAACTTCACACACATGTTTTGAGGAGCTCTGAGACTTATTTACACTGAAGAAGAGAAGGAGAATATGTGACCTTTAAGTTTGTTTTTTTGTCATTAAATGCCTCAGACTATTATTCAGTGTTTGAAAACATTACAGAGAAAGACCTTATTGTCAGAGTCAGACCCTTTTTGTGCCGTCTGTTAGAGGTAATATCACATTTATCAAAGCCACCAGACTCCACTGACAAAAACAGCTGCGTGCTTGTTGTATCTGGCACCCACCTTTTTAACACTAATGTGTGAGTCTTTAAAAACAGGGATCAGCAGAATAGGTCTACTTTCATCAGGCTCCTTTGATGACATTGAAGCCTTTATAGCTCTTTTTTTCTTTGTTGGTGCGGGGAAAGACATTTCCTGGGGGCATTTCAGCTCTCAAAACAAAAATATACAAAACCTTTTTTTTAAAGACGAGGTCAAAGAAGAAGATCTGAAGTCATACTCTGTTTTGTGTTTTTTGATCCACCAGCCTCTCCCCTCCCGTTCAAACACCTGCCCAGACTCGCTCTTTAAACTCGCTCCAATTCAAACGACCTACTGACTGCCTGACCTACATCCAAGCAGGATGCGGGGACATTTGAATGGCAGTTGAGGTAACAGTATTTACATGACAAATACAGACTGCAGACTCACCCTCCCTGTGCAAATGAGCTGGCACTGCACCCTAGAGAGGACGAGGAGGAGGAGGAGGAGGAGGAGGAGGAGGGATGCTGTCATAGTTACATGCGGTGGATCATAAATCAACAGGTGTGTTATCTCTCAGACGGAGCTCAGTGTAAACACAGCGCTGCAGGTCAGTGTACCTCGTGCAGTGTAAACAGTTTACAGTGGGGCCGGTCTCTTGGCTTGGGGGGCTCACCGCTTCACTCAGCTCATCATGTAAATGTCTCAGCGATGCTTATGTAGTGCCATGTAATGTTTGGGGTTTGTACTTGAGCTCAGGGGAAAAGTCTAATGAGAAACACCCTGCCACTGAAAACATTTACACCCTGTAAAGGTCAAAGCTGCATGCGTGTTCCCGGGGAGAAATCCCTCGGTTAAGGTTTTAGTTTCACAGTTTTGGATGAATGTTCCTGGATTTCATTTTTACTGAAAGGTCAAAATAAACTATAAAAAGTCTACAAAGAAAAGAGTCTGATATGTGCATTGATTATTCTAAGACTCTGGTTAGGTGATGTTGGACTATTTATGTCGCACTGCTATAGCTAATGTGGATATCGCCATCCAGCTTACACTCTGCCCAGCAGGTTAGGGGCAGGGGCCGTCTGGCTGTGGAAACCCAAGCAAGATCAGGGTTAGTCGTACCGAACCGTGCCGTGCAGAACCAAACTGGACCGTTTGGTGGAAACCTTTTGAAATCAGAGGTGTTGGTTTCTCTACATCTATCTTCCCTTCAGGATATTTTTTTTGGAGTTGTTGGTGTTCATGATGAATGAGAAGCTTCAATAGATACATTTACACATTAATGCAACCTCGGGGGGGGGGTTACTCGAGAGTTGAACAGCGCCTAGAGAAACACTAAAAAAGTACTTTGGATGCCTCGCCTTAACTCGATGAATTACGACCATTTGGACTCAATTAGATCACCCCGTTTCCCCGGCCTGGTAACAGTTTCCACGGCAGCACCCTGGCTGAGAGCTAACCCCCCCCCCGTCCCCCCTTATTGGCTGGTGTGATTACCCTCGGTCCCCCCTCGTCCTGCGTGTGTGGTTTTAAACGCTCAGAGTCATACCACAGAGGTGACGTGAGAAACGTGAGATCCACACGTTTACATTGTTTGTCTGAGGTCCTCAACCCGAGGTATTTATGACACAGGTTCACACAGCTCCAACAGTTTCATGGATTCAGTGTCATGTCATGTGCCAAAGTTTGAACAATATTTACAAAGAAGGGGCTCAGATTGAATTCTAGCTCTAAGTGGGAGCAGAGTCAGTTTTTTTTATTCAGATTCTACCACACAGAAAAGTGGTAGAGGGTGGAGGATAAATATGCATTCAGTTTGAGGTTCACCTCAGATCTCTTAGGCAGTGTGATAAGAACAATGCTTTCTCTAACTTTAACTGGGTTTTAAACCACAGAGTGTCCATGGACAGAGCTTTGAAACCCCCTCATTTCAGCCTTGGCCTGCAACAGCTTGTTTCAGCTTCTGTCTCTCTAAG